TAAGGTGATCCTTACTTGTACCCATTTCAAAGAAAGGTGACTGAACCGAAAGCTCACATTACAGAACAGTGTCATTAACATCACATGCAAGTAAGACTTTGCTGAAGATCATCCAACAATGGTCGCAGCGGTACAGACAGGGAATGATCAGAGGTTCACACCTGATTTAGGAGAGAGCTTGGAACAAAGGATACCATTGCTAATGTCATCAGACGGATCTTGGCTGAAAGAAGAGACTATCAGAAAAATGTTTACTTGTGTTTTACTGACTATACAAAGGCACTTGACTGTGTGGACCATAACAAACTGTGGATAGCCTTGAGAAGAATGGGAATTCCACAGCACTTCTTTGTGCTCATGCGGAACCTAGACATGGATCAAGGCAGTTGTGAACAGAACAAGGGAATACTGCATGGTTTAAAATCAGGAAAGATGTGAGAAAGGATTGTATCCTCTCACCATATTTATTCAATCTCTATGCTGAACAAATCATCAGAGAAACTGATTTATAAGAAGAATTTGGCATCAGGACTGGAGGAAGGCTTATTAACAACCTGCAATACATGTAGACACAACCTTGCTTGCTGAAAGTGAGGAGGACTTTAAGTACTTGCTGATGAAGATCCAAGATTGAAACCTTCACTATGGATTACAGCTCAATGTAAAAGAAAAAAAGAAAAAGAAAAGAAAATTCTCACAACTAGACCAATAGATAACATCATGATAAGTGGAGAAAAGATGGAACTTGTCAAGGATTTTGTCTTGCTTGGATCCACAATCAATGCTCATGGAAGCAGCAGTCAAGAAATCAAAGGATGCACTGCATTGGGTAACTCTGCTGCACAAGACCTCTCTAAAATGTTGAAAAGCAAAGATTTTACTTTGAGAATTAAAGGGTGCCTGTCCCAAGCCCTGGTAGTTTCAATCAGCAAATGGGGATGTGAAAGTTGAACTATAAATAAGGAATTCGACTGAAAAAGAATCAATGCATCTGAATTATGGTGCTGGCAAAAAACTAATGAACGTACCATGGACTGCCAAAAGAACAAACAAACATGTCTTTGAAGAAGTGCAGCCAGAATATTCTGCTCCTTAGAGGACAAGTCTTAGACATGTGGTCTCACATCCTTGGGACATGCTGTCAGGAGAGACCAGTCCCTGGAGCAGCAGAAGGGCAGTGAGAAAGAGGAAGACCGTCCAGGAGACGGACTGACACAGTGGCTGCAGCAGTGCGCTCACACATGAGGACAACTGTGAGAACGAGCAGGAAGAGCCTATGTGTCAGAACCAGCTTCCTGGGAAAATGTTGGCATTGTAATAGCTAAATGAAAGAAAGTGCACATACGTTTTTAAAAGTATTTTAGCTGTAAAATATAGGGGGAGGGAGGAATCACAAAGTATTAAGGACTCCAAAATACAGATCACAGTCCCTCAGGGTGGCTAAGCATTTGTGATTTTTAAATTCTTGTGCATATTTTTTTCTGTATTTTTCAAATTCCTTTAGAGGCACCCCAGGGTAACACAAACAGTGAATCACTCAATTACTAGTCACAGGGAGGCAGTTCAAACCCACCCAGATGTACATTGAATGAGAGGGCTTGGAGATCTTCTGAAAGGTCAGAGTCTTAAAAACCCTATGGAGTAGTTTTACGCCACATCCATGGGTAGATATTAGTCAGAATTAACTCAATGACAACTAACAGTAACAGCTCCTATTACAAAGCAATCAAGGGGCTTTAAAAAAGAGCTGATGTGACTTAATTTTTTTTTAATCTATTTAAGATTATAGGCTTTGAACTTTTCCACTAAAGAGAATTCTTGGAATCTAAGATAGAATAGCTACTTCTTTAAACTATCCCATTTTTGAAAGATCTATACAAAACATAATCAAAATGAAAAGTTATTCATAAATTTAATTACGTGAGGAGGAAAAAGTGAAACCAAGAACCTACATCACAGCAACACTGCATTCTGAATCATAGCAACACTGCATTCTGAATCATAGCAATACTGCATCCTGAATAAGGTCCACATCAGCATGAGCTGATAAATCCCAGGTTATCACCACTTCAAAGACTGGGGCCTTCATGGTATCCATCAACTACCAACAAATTTGAACTTTAAAGAACAGAGAAAAACAATGGAAAGCCATTATGAAGATAGCAGCATCCTGCTCATTGAAAGGCCTTCAGATTAAAGATGGTTTGAAAATCTTTTGAAGCTTTTCCCACCTGCTTAATATCCAGGCTGCTAAAAGTAGTTATAAGGAATCTTTTACTCCCTTAGTAAAAACTTTTTAATTACCTGGTGGACACATGTTATTCAAAGTCACATTGAGTTCATTTTTATCAAAACTTCTAACCCTGTTCAGCTTGTTGACAAGTGACAACAAAATGGACTAAATGAGAAATCAAAGAGGAGAAAT